ATTTATAACATAAAAATTGATTTTCCGAAGATCTTTTGTTTTGTCAATTTGGTCCCTTTTTGCAGCACCTAGCCCATGTTTATTTAGATTGCAAATACGGAAAACATCAACATTTCATCTTTCAAATCATTTATTCACCTTAGCAAGAAAATTTTATTTTATAAGGATCATTTCATTACGGTTGTAGCTTTTCAATATTCGTTGAATAGAGAGGTATTTAAATAATATTTATTTAATCCGAAAATTTAATCCATAATTTTAAACAATTTTAAGATAATGCCTCACACCATATATTTCGATAAGATAAATTTTTAATATTTCAAGATCAGGTAAATAGTATTTAATGTACGGATGTAAGTATGGTTTCTGGTAGATTTAACACAGGGCAGGTCAACCACAACTCAACCTTAACTGTCGATAAAATAAGTTAATACTAACCGTTTCGTAAACACGTACGTACAGTACATACGTATAGTGCGTGCGTATTAACACATCTGTCCAATCTGTACTACTGTGTATTTGTCTTACTACCTTTATCTTAGGACAATAGACCGTATCTGTCAATCAGATCATGGTCTCATAACCATCGTGTAACCATTATCTTTTATAAAGTTTAGTTTGCATGAATCGGTATGTAGTTCAATTAACATTAATAATTAAGATCATGTTTTCTTTTGACAAAAAAAATGCTGAAAAGCAAGCATTTGTAGATAAGGCTAGGTCAGAGCGTGAGAAACGAGAATTGCAACGTGTTAAGCAAAAAGAAGAACAAAAACATGCACAAGTTGTCAATGTGATACAAACTGCATATAAAAAACATCTTCAAAGAAAGAAAGATATCAAACATTTACGAGAACTATGGGATAATGATGTCTTATATTCTGATGGCAACGGGACAAATTCAACATTTTCCGTTTCCTCAATTGAAATTCTTGATTATTCATACTTGATGTTTGCTTTCTTCAATCCGTCTAATGATGCAAACGATCTTTCGAGATTTTCGTATCTTTGCAAAATGATTTTATCCACAACTACTCCTTCAATACCTGCAAAGTCTCAAACACAAGAAACTTCAAATACTGTTGTACCATTTCATTCTCTACTGCTTAATGAACGATACAGAGTGATGGTGTTGAAAATTATGAAAAAAATACTTTGGCAGTGTGTCATTTGTGTTGTCGGTTTTTTGCATGATATTACTCCAAATTCTTCTAAGCCTTTGTATCTTTCCGGTCCGGAATTACGGCTACTTATATACTTTCTTGATTCCAAAAATTATATTGTCAAAGGAACTAGTGCTTCTTATTCTTCTATATGGAGTCAACAACTTGTAATACTTCATGATTATCTCATTCATCAGGGATTTTACAAGCAATTTGGTTATGGAATAATGCTGCGTGTAAATTCCATTCTTTCTCTTCAATCAAGGGCTGCAAAAGCTGAATTATTAAATGATGATAAGAAACTTTTAAAATCGTCTCAATTATGGCTAATGGCATGCCTTCGATGCTGCTTGTTTCCTTTGAGTTTAAATAATGATGTTGATATGGCATTAAACAATTCACAGTCATTAGAAATGTCTCAAAGCAATGTACAAGATAGTTCAGTAATTATCTTAAATAATTTTATTTGTCATATATTGACAACCCCTTGTTTGTTATCATGCTTTGATGAGACTTGTTTAGAGATGTTCAAA